AACAACCCAACAAATTCATAGCCAAAGCAATGTTCTTTTGAGAGGAACTTTTAGCGCTTCTACATCAGTATATTCGTTAAACTTACTCGTTCTGAAGTGCTACCTTTTTATATACGTTATACATGAACGGCCACTTGCTGCCTGTTGCCAAATCAAATCTTCCCTGTAAAAGTTTGTCTCCAAGAACCCAAATGGAGTTCGACCCTAACTTGTAGCTCAAGGGATCTGGGCGTTTTTAGTTTGGGATCTGATCGTAACGTCGCACAGCGTTATATGTGTACCGATTGCCCGACTTCTAATCTGAAGATCCGGAACGATCGATACGTATCTAATGCTGTGCGATCGTTACGGACTACACTGCTGACCATGAAACCGTGCTATATCAGTGGGCCTGTCGCTTGCAACACGTCCCAAAATTCATGAAAATAGTGAAAGTAGCGATCTAAAAGCGCGATCCATCGCGCGATGGACCACAGAAATAACTGCCCCGATCAATACTGCGAAGTGCTCTAGAATCCCGCCGCTATTTCTGCTTGATGGTGATGGTATTATTACATAGTTTTATTATTACATATTCTGAGTTTCATACATCCAAGGGGTACTTGCAAATTTTGCGATTCGCACGAATCGCACGACGGATCGAGGACTCTGGCACCAGCCTTAGGCTAAAGGGTGTGCTTCACTAGGAGAGAAAACTTTTTCGCGTTTCGCGCGCGGAACATTTTTCGCTGCAGAACTCTAGGTCCACTCATGATCAGCGGTGGACCTGAGGTTCCTGCAGCGAAAAATGTTTCGCAGCGAAACGCGAAAAAGTCGCTTTCTGACTGGGGGCACATGTATGCATAGTCGGTCGTCCGACAGCAACGATCGCAAAATCGCGTTAGATACGTATCGATCGTCGAATACTCAGGCAAGTCCGACGATCGATACGCATCCAATGCTGTGCGACAGTTACGATCGTTGCTGTCGGACGACCGACTATGCATACGCCCTGGGGCCGTATGCTGAGTTTTGGGGATGGAACGGGGATGGGAAAGGTTGGGGAGGTTCGTCGCAGGACCCACTTTGCAACGGTCGCACCTTTGATTTTGCAGCTTTGTTTCCATCCTTTTACTGTTTCTGATTGTATATTCGCTCGTAAATACCTTTCTTTACACCAAAAGCAGCGATGAAAGAATGGAAACAAAGCTGCAAAATCAAAGGTGCGGCCGTTGCCCAGTGGGTCCTGCGACGAACCTCCCCAACCTTTCCCCATCCCCGTCCCCTCCCCAACATTCAGCATACGGGCCCTGGTAAAGCACACCCTAGGCTAAATCCTAGAGGGTTCACCTTATCCTGCGATAACGCCCTCACTTATCTTAGGGTACTTGCCATTTCAGCAGCACAGATGACTTGAGAAAAAACTAATCTTGCTTCTTCATTGGAAACCAACAGATGTTTTAAAGCAAACGGCGAGCAAAATATCAAACTTTTATGTAGCATACATTATACGAAGTTATACGATTGGCTCCCTTTCAGTGATATCTTCACATGAAATTACAGATCACCTACCACGTATGCCAGTGTTACTGAGACTACAAAAGCATTAAAGAGAAAAGACAGGGTATCAATATAAGCTGATGAAAAGTAACGAGACCGCAGAGGCCTCAGAGCAAGCATGAGAAGCGAAAGGTTGTGATAGGCGAACGAAATGTTTCGGCGGTGGACCTTCAAGATGTTTGGTGTCTATGAAGTCTGCCGAGTTGCCGCTAGGCCTAAGTTGACTTAAGGAAAGTGGGCCCCCCGATTTGAATCTCCAAGCTTGGATGGTTTCGCAATTCAGGTTGTTTTGGTTGTTTGTCTCTTGTCTTTTTATTCTTTCATATTCTGGGGCTTTTCGTGTCTCCTCTGGCGGTGGGTTCGCTTCTTGGCGATAGAACCATTCTGAACCTCTTAGGCTTTCAACTATTTTGATCATCGATTCTGTGGATTTATTCTTCAGAGAGTGTCTGCTTGTGGTGGTTGCAGTTTTGCTGTGAAGGATGATATGAGAACTCAGACTTTGTATGCTGTCCAAGCGAAAAGGTAGGGGCTCTATGGCATGATCTTCGTGCTGTACTATTTGGGATTTCGAGCGTTGGTGTACGACTTTCAAAAGCTGGGAAGTGAGTCAAGGACGTGTTTAGAAAGGTGGGAAGATCTTGTAAGAGCCTTTTATGGTCCAGTTTTTATCTACGTTGTGGTTGCTTTCTCACGGGCTGTGGATTACTTATCAGAATCTCCGCCTGATATAGTGTGACCTCTGATGAGTGTGGTGCTTCGGCTGTTCGCTGGTTTTTATGTTTGGGAGGTTGTTCTTGGCTCACTTTGGGCTTTTTCTCCGCCCGAAAGGGCTTCTCTATCGAGAGTTTTTTCAATGAAAGCGGATGTCGCTAAGGTCTTATAAAAATGAGTAGTTCATAAAAGGTTCTGTGCATACAGGTGCATTGGGGTGCTGTAGGTTGACCGCAGCTGCGCCAACTTCCGATCCCACAATCGTGTAGGGGTAGATACGTATTGACTATCGCGTGACCGGATAAGTCGAACGATCGGTGGGCCGTATGCTGAATGTTGGGGAGGGGACGGGGATGGGTAAATGTTGGGGAGGTTCGTCGCAGGACCCACTGGGCAACGGCCGCACCTTTGATTTTGCAGCTTTGTTTCCATTCTTTCATCGCTGCTTTTGGTATAAAGAAAGGTATTTACGTGCGAATATACAATCAGAAACAGTAAAAGGATGGAAACAAAGCTGCAAAATCAAAGGTGCGACCGTTGCCCAGTGGGTCCTGCGACGAACCTCCCCAACATTACCCATCCCCGTCCCCTACCCAACATTCAGCATACGGCCCCGGTATGTGTCGACCCCACATTCGGCTGTGCCATAGGACGGCTTAGACTAAACTATAACTGCGTATGACGCGCGACCTCGTAGAAATTGTTTCAGAGCAAGTCGTACGTTTGAGACTACATTGATGAGTTGTTCCCAGTTTTGACCGGCAACAACAATTTTTTAGCTCTATTTTTTTCGGAATGAATGGGTAGAAATCGTGACCAGTAACCCAGTAGCTACTAGTGCATCTTATTTAACAAGAAAATAGTGTGGTGGAACGGCTCGAAATGCATCATCAATCTTCTGCGTTTCAGGATCAGTCAATAGGAGTTGACTCATCTTCAGTGTCATTTATTGGGAACGGTCACATTGGAGTAGATGTGAATGGAGAATTAAGGTTGGCTCATGTCTTCTTGTTTTATTTTGCCAAAGACTTACAGGAAACTCCATTTGTAAACCTGTGAATGATCCTAGGCAAGGCTATTAAGACAGCCTGTGAATCACCTCTGAGTATGGGAAGTCGATCTACGAGCGCTGTTTCTCTGCTGGCTTCACTAAGCGAACATGCTTGACTGGGGCTTATATTCACAAGGATTCCGACCTTATGGACGTAGGTCTCGAGAAAGCCGTTCAATTGGGATTCCCTGAATTGCGTCCCGCTCGCATCTTTAATACCTAGTCTCTCAGTGTCCAACCCGGTGTTTCTTCGCCTTGGTGTCGTGATCTACTCGAAATCGACCACAGAAGAAGGCATTTACTAATTTACGCTTTCTATGATTCATTTTTTTACTAGTGTAGCACCCACATTCGAATTTTGAGTGCCACTCCGTACCCAAGCTCTAATAGCATGGAATATGTCTTCAACTTAGTCCTTGTAATGCAATCCCCTCCTTCATCCTTTCAGTACCTGAACGTTCTATAGATTCAGATTCATTGTTGGGAACCAAGTTTGTC